AAAGATCGAGAGGGAAAGACAGGAAAGAGCAACACGACAAGAAAAACAGAAACAAGAATAAGGAAAGAGGCAGAAACGCAGACGACAAAAAAAGAGATCGATAAATATAGAAAGATAAAAGTGAGAAAGAGAGAGAATAATCACGTAGAGAGAAGAGAAAAGGTCAAAAGGTGAAGAGAGAGGAAAAAATGGAAAGAAGAGAGTGATGAGAAAATCGATAATGAAGGAGAAAGAAAGGCGAGGGAGAAAAACACATAGAAAGGAAAGATAGAGACTGCCAAATTGAAAGAGATCAGAAAATCAACGGAAAGATGAAAGAGAGAGAGAGAGAGAGAGAGAGAGAGAGAGAGAGACGAAAGTTCAAGAATGAGACGAGAGACAGATAAAAATATTTGAAGACGATAAGAAAGAAGAGAGTGTGTGTGTGTGTGTGAGAGAGAGAGAGAGAGAAGAAAATGTAGTAAAAGGGAGAAGGAAAAGGAAAAAATGAAGGTAGTAGAAATTTAAAGAAAAAGATAGAATGATAGACAAAGAGAGAAAGAAGAGATAAAGAGACAAACTGAAAAAGGCGAAAGAGAGAAAGACGGTGAGGAAAGAGAAAGATAGAAAGAGAGTATGAGCGAAAGGAAGCCCGGGGAGGAGGGAAGAAAAAAAGACTGAGTAAAAACAGGGGGAATGGGATAAAATGTTCAGCCCGCGCCGGGGCGGTGGGGTTAGATGTCAGACTGAAACAAGCAGCAAAAAAGAGAGAAAAAGATAGATAGATAGATAGATAGATAGATAGATAGATACATACATACATACATACATACATAGATTAAGAAAGAAAGAAAGAAAGAAAGAAAGAAAGGAAGAAAGAAAGAAAGAAAGATAAAATAGACAAAAAGAAAGAAAGACGAAATAGAAAGAAAGAACGAAGCGAGTAAATAAATGAAGGAAGGAAGGATTGAATGAAATAGAAAGAATGAAAAATTTGAAGAAGAAATGAGAAAGAAAAAAAGAAAGGCAGGAAAAGGAAAAGTAGAAAGAAAGAAAGAAAGAAAGAGAAAGAGAGAGAACAAACGGAAAAAAAGACAAAAAGAAAGAAAGATTAAGTAAAGATAAAGAATGAAGTAAATAAATGAATGAATGAATGAAAATATTGAATAGAAAAAAGAATGAAAAAAACGAAAGAAAAAAAATACAGGAAAGTCAAAGTAGAAAAAAAGAAAAAAAGAAAGATGCAAAGGAAATGAGAATAAAAAGAAAGAAAGAAAGAAAGAATGAAAGAAAGAAAGAATGAAAGAAAGAAAGAAAGTGAAAATAGAAAGAACGAACGAAAAAAAGAAAGAAAGAAAGTGTGGGGGTGAAAGCGAAATTTATTTTTTATATATGAATATGAATAAAAAAACGAAAAGCTGTCGAGATCTCGGCGTTGTCAGTGTCTCTCTTTGTGCACTTTGCAAACTCTCGTAGGTCACACGGGATTATCTCGTCCATTACGAGATCTCTTTGATCCTCCGTTACTTATTACTTATAGCCTCCTTTCAAGTTTCTCTTTGATCTTGTGCCCAATAGATAAGATAATCCGGTGAGGATATTTGCCTTGTTCATTATCTTAGAATTGTTAACACAAAGTATCGCCATCTTGCTCTATGTGTGTGCACGAATAAAATATACTCTAAATATATATATATATAGAGAGAGAGAGACAGACAGACAGAGAGAGAGAAAGAAAGAGATAGATTTCCATATTTATATACAAGAACATTAAAATTTTATATATGCGTGAATTAATATACATATATCTATCTATCTATCTATCTATCTATTTATCTATCTATCTATATATATATATATATATATATATATATATATATATGAAGCAATTTTTAAAGAATTATTGCATTTACGCTTAATTCGAAATTTTTATCACTTTAAACACAATTTTTTAGTAGATGTCCGTGTTCCAAATAGACGCCATGTTTGTTTTTTTTTTAACAAACAATCGGCCAGTCTATTCAAGTGGGAAAAATTAATAAAAAAAATATGTTGAAATATATTTCTTTAATATACGCGCACACACACTATGTACATTATTCGGACTATTGTTCTCATCTTTGTTGCCATATTTATTACAACGTTCGGCCGTTGTACGCTCCGGCCTTCTTCAGGTGGTTGGAATGTTGAACTGAACCCTTTATTTCGCTCACTGGGGTAGACTGTTCTAGTTCCACGTGCCATGTCTAATAGATGTCAGTTATCAGTTATCTCCTGTTAATCCCGTCTGAAAGTTTCCTCTTCCTATATATATATATATATATATATATCCACTTCCTATATATATATATATATATATATATATATATATATATATATATATAAGTGGAGAACTTTCAGACGGATTAACAGGAGATAACTGATAATGTGTTTCTAAAATAAATACGCTAAAATCCACTATCCCTACCGTGCGCCGATATAGTTAGAATCCGATCGACACCAGTTCAGTCGGGTTTATAACTAAAAAGGCAAACGGATTCCGAAACAGTCTGTCTTTATGATATATATATATATATATATATATATATATATAAGGGAAATACGAGAATGCTTTCAGGAACAAGGGACGTTGCGTTTTAATCAGTGGAAATAATCGCTTTTTTTTTTTTCATGCTTCTACGGAGTTTAACGGTTTTAAAATAAATACGCGAATAGGAAAGAAAAACTGACAAAGGTGAGAGCCAACAGCTCTGACACGAATGTTAACTAGCTTGCGCCGACGGCATTTAATGAAAAATTTAAATTGCATGGCACTACCCAATTGGATCATTCTTTGCTTAAACTCAACGTTGATTCTGATCCCGCAGAACTGGGTTCGGTGTGAAAAGTATTTGTTGTTAACATTCAGTTTAAAGGCAGTCCTTTTAAAAAGCTGATCATTTTGTGTTGTTTGTTTAGGCGGATGTAGAAAAAATTCGCAGTGTGAGAGATAGGCAAGAAGTAAGGCATGTAGCAACATGAGCACGGCACACTCCTTTGCAAAAAATATTTAAATTCAAGTGATAGCGATTGCTGTATGAGTTGTACGATTTTGAATCAAAAGGCAAGCCGGGTCTTTACTATATATATGACGTATATATATATATATATATATATATATATATATATATATATATATATAGGAAGTGAGAACTTTCAGACAGGATTAACAGGAGATAACTGATAATGTGTTTCTAAAATAAATACGCTAAAAATCCACTCTCCCTACCGTGCGCCGACGGCTTAATGGTTAGAATCTCCGACTGACACCAATTCAGTCGGGTTTCGATCCTAGCTAAAGGCAAACGGATGAGCTGCGAAACAGTCTGTCTTTGGATGACGTTATATATATATATATATATATATATATATATAAGGCAGGATGTGTGTGTATGTGTAACGAATGTACGGCCGCATGCTCCAAGTTAGCGGGAAGGTCAAGACTGACGTTGCGTTTCACTACTCCCATCGATAGTGGAAATAATCGTTTTTTTTTTTTCATGCTTCTACGGCAGTTTTCATGTAGTTTGCGGCCATTTTGTACTGGCCAGAATGATAGCCAATAGCTGGCTGCCCCGAATAGGAAAGAAAATTCTACTGGCCAGCGTGAGAGCCAACAGCTGACTGACACGAATGTTAACTAGCATGCTAGCATGCAAAAAAAATCGATAGCTGCATTCGTCACAAGTGAAAAATTTAAATCTGCATGGCACTTTACTCCAATTGGATCATTCTTTTGCTTAAACTCAACGTTGATTCTGATCCCGCAGAACTGGGTTCGGTGTGAAAAAGTATTTGTTGTTAACATTCTTTTTTTCATTTTTTCATTCGAGGTTTTTCCATTTCATTTAGTTTTTTTTCAGAGATTTCCTTTTTAAAGATGATCGTTTTGTGTTTATTTGCACTCCGGCAAAAGGCACTCCTTTAAAGGCAAGGAAGCAAAAATATTTTTTCAAGTGATAGCGATTGCTTAGTTCGATTTTTGAATTTTTTATATATATAATATATATATATTTATATATATATATATTATAGATCTTAAAAAAAATTCGCTTAATGGTTAGTGTGAGATAGGCGAAGCTAAAGGCAAACGGATGAGCATGTCTTTGATGACAACATCAGCATGGCATGCTCCAAGTTAGAAGGGAAGGTCAAACTGACGTTGCGGCACCCCATTTTAAACGGCAAGAATGAAGGCAAAATATTTAAATTCAAGTGATAGAATGTTAACTAGCATTGCATGTATGAGTTGTGAAAAATTTTTTGAATCACTTTTTCCAATCATTCTTTTGCTTAAACTCAACATTGATTCTGATCCCGCAGAACTGGGTTCGGTGTGAAAAAAGTATTTGTTGTTAACATTCTTTTTCATTGGGTTTTTCCAGTTACGAGTCCTTTAAAGCTGATCATTTTGTGTTCATTTTGTTTAGTCTTTTTTTCGTAACAGATTTAATGTTTAGTATAGATCTTTATATATATATATATATATATATATATATATATATATATATATGTGTGTGTGTGTGTGTGTGTGTGTGTGTGTGTGTGTGTGTGTGCGATGAAAGCGTTCAATCGTCTGAAGTTAGCGTGAGCGTGAGACTCGGGTTACCACCAGGGCCATACATAGGCGATTTTTGGCAATCTAACCGTGTAGGCAATCTAGTCGGAGCATTTTACTTTACTTAATAGGTTCCTTTTAGTTTTTAGGTTTCACAACCTTCTCTCTTGTTCTAATTAACAGAAAACCAAAATCTATGCATAATTTTTGCCCAATTGAACAACTACAGGGTCATCTTCATCGATCTTGATTTTTTTTTTTTTAATTTTCGCCCGGAAAACCATTTTTTGAGATATCTTAGATATAATTTAAATCTTGGTCGTAGAAGTAGAAATTGCCATAAATATAACGGAGAATGTAACTTGCGATGCTGGGCGTAGAGTGGAGGTATGAGGCAAACACCAATTTTTCGGCGTCATCCGTGTTTATAAATTTTCCGACTTGGAAGACGCGCCCTAATAGTGGAAAGAAATTTCTAAAAAAAGAAAAATCATTCTCATACAACAACACATACACCATGCTTTCCTCCCAAACATTACTTAGAATTACAATGAATAGGAAGTTGTGGAGAGCCATGATCACCAAACGTCCTAAAGAGACATGGTACATAAAAGAAGAAATGAACGACAAAACAGGGACTGGAAGGGATAGTAAGAAGACAAACATTACTTAGAATTACAATGGAAAAGGAAGTTGTGGAGAGTCATGATCATCAAACGTCCTAAAGAGACATTGCACATAAAAGAAGAAATGAATGAAAAAACAGAGACTAGAAGAAATAGTAAGACGACAAATATTACTTAGAATTACAAAGAATAGGAAGTTGTGGAGAGCCATGATCACCAGACGCCATGAAGAATCATGGCACATAAAAGAAAAAAATGGATGTCAAAACAGGGACTGGGAGGGATAGCAAGGAGACAAACATTATTCAGAACTATAAAGGATGGGATGTTGTGGAGAGCCATGATCACCAGTTGTCCTGAAGAGTCATGGCACATAAAAGAAAAAATGGATGACAAAACAGGGACTGGAAAGGATAGTAAGGAGACAAACATTACTCAAAACTATAAAGAATAGGAAGTTGTGGAGAGCCATGATCACCCATTTCCGGAAAAAACAGAAGGAACCTGTGTCACCTTTCTACCCAGTTTATATAAATGGATGACAGAACAGAGATTGAGAGGCGTAGTAAATCAAACAATGCTAAGAGAAACAAGGCGGAG